GCCCCTCGCGCCACCTGCCCCGGAGCTCGCACCAGACGCTGAAGATCACTCGGGGCGGCCACGCGTAGTCGGCCTCGCCATTGAGCTTCACGAGGGCTTCAGCGGCGTCCTCCTGTGACTTGGGGTGCACCTGGCCATAGATGCACGCCCAAGCCCGCGACTCCCTCTTAGCGTCTTGGATCCACTGCTGCACTGTCGTGGCGCGCCTCGGCCTAGTCTCCAGCTTGCATTCCTTGGGCGGCGCGAAATTGTCCGCGCCCGCCCCCGACGCCTCATGGAAGTTGGCGCAGGTGAGGCAGTAGTCAGGAGGTGCGTGCGGTCGCGCCCCCCGCGCTGGAAGGCCGCAAGCCCGCGCGCCATGGCACTGGCGATGTTCACGGGGAAATTGATGGACTGGAAGAGCGGGCGCGCGTTCTGCCCAGCCGATCTCAGCCCATGAAACGCGTCTTTACCCAGCAGACCCGGGCAGAACGTCAAGTGGAAACTGTCGCAGCCGCGCGCCAGGTAGTCGAGCTGCCCCTCAGCCCGCCCGATGCTCGCCAGCGCGCCATTGGCCGCGCCTCCTGACTCCTCCGAGCGCCTGTTGGCCCTCCCCAGCTCGCGCACCAGCTTCTCCAGGCCCGCGCCGATCTCGGCGGTGGGCTGCGGCCCCGCGAACGTCCTCTCCTCCATGGGCATGGATGGCGCCCCTGCGTGCCACTCCCGAGGCCTCGTCGCAGCTTCAACGCACAAAGTCGCGCTCTCGTGCCCCCGGGGCGCCGACGCCCCTGCGCCGCCCGCCCCCCGGAACGAGAAATGGTCTGGGCGAGGCGGCGACGGCCCAGCGGCGGGCCTTTAGCCGAACCCGACGAAGCCTAGTCCTGGGGGCGACGCCGGGGGCGGAGGCGCCGCTGCCGGCGGGGGGGCTGCTGCGGGCGGAAGGGGCGCCGGCGCTGCCTCGCGATGCTCCTGGACGCCTCCTGAGCGCGGCCCTCCTCCTCGCTCGAGCTCCCTGCACCAGGCTGCCTGGCATCCTTGGAGAAGGCTCGGCCCGATGTCGCTGACCACTCCCTCGAGCGGTGCGTCCGCGGCCTCGATGAGCCCCGCTAAAAGGCCCGCGGCCGCGCCGGCCGTCACGGCACGCCTCGCGCTTCCGTCGGACTGGCCCTCGGCCCTCCTGAGCAAGCACCCCTCGATGGGCGCAGCCCTCGGGTCCGCTCGGCGCTGCGCCTCATCCTTCTCCACGGCTCGCCTCAGCCTCTAGTCGAGGTCGCCCTTCGCGCTCTTCCTGGTCGGCGTGGCGCCCCCGCCTCTGGATCTCGCTCGCCTCGCCAGACGGCGCCGGCTCCTGCCGCGTACGATCGCGGCCGCAGACGCGCGGCTGAGACTGTCGCCCTCGCAGCTCGCGCCGCCGCCGTAGTCGGGCAGGCGCGAGGCCACCCCCGATTTCCAACAGATGGCGGGGGGCTGCGCGCTGATGAACTCGTCGAGCAGCTCCGACCTTGGCGCCGGTAGAGCGCCGTCTGGAATGGGGAAGGTGACATGCAGCCCGACCGCCCCCACGCCCGCCCCGGGGTCGTCGTCGCCCGCGTCTCGGGAGGGCCCCGCGAACTCGGCCGGGAAGCTGCATTAAGCTCGCCAACCCGCGGCCGCGTCGGCCAAGGGGCCCCGCGCGCGCGCGCCGACCAAGCCGCGTCCGCGGCGACCTCGGCCGCTGGACTGCTCCTGCGCGTAGACGACGGCTGCCGCTCGGTTTCCGCGCCCTGCCTCCTCTCCTGCCGTTTGCTGCCCCCATGCGGCTGCGGCGTGGCCGACCAGCTACGCTGGCCCGCTGCCCGATCAGCAGCATGCGCGGCGTAGAGAGGGAAGCCGCCCTTCTCGGTGGTCTTCTCGCGGAAGTAGTTGGAGCGGGCACGCCCCCTCTGAGCTAAGTGGGCCTCGTAATACTGGGCGTGGAGCGGGCGAGCCCTGACCGAGCTAGTGCCATTCACCTCCGGGGGCCCGCGCACGCCGGAGACGGCGGCGCCCTCGACCAGCATCAGCACGGGCCCCTTCCTCGCCGAGCCCCGCCAACCCTTGGCACGCAGCACCTGCGCGCGCCGGGCAGTTCGGAATGCGATCCTGTCCGCCGCGCACACGTCCACGCTCGGCTCAGACTCCGTCTCCGAGTTGGGGCCCATCACTACCGCCTTGGCCGAGCCATCGCCCGAGCGTGGGCGCCTCCATCTCCGAGACGCACAGCACCCGCGCGCCTTCTTAGCGAGGCCCGACACTCCCCGACACATCCAAGAGCAGCGCACTCTGCCCCCCGCCCTGGCCCGCCCCGCAGGCGCGAGCACACGTTGATCGAGGAGGCGCGGCCGACGACGCACGACGCACCCACGTGGGCCACGGGCCTGTCTCCTGGAGGCAATGTGCATGGCGCCGCGGAGCACAAGTGCATCAAGCCGATCCCCTCGTCATCTCGCGTAGCCTCCAGGTCGGTCTCGAGGTGCCGGCGCGAGCTGCCATTGACCTCCTCGGGGCGGTGGGCGCACCCGTGGCGGGTGATGCGGCTGCCCTTGATGGGCCCCTGCTCTAGCCTCGCCACCGCCCCGCCCGACTTGCGCAGTCTGCGCCGACGGCTTCGGCCTCATCTGGGCCGCGCCAGGTCAGGGCAGCGCTCGGCTCACCGTCCAAGGCGACCTGCACGCCGTGGCCCGTCTTGCTGCCGTTGATGAAGCCGCGCGTAATCATGAAGACGAACGCGCAGTACATCCAGGCCGTGCGCAGGACCCAAGAGGAGCCGAGGAGGGCGATCACTCCCGCCGCGGCCACGCCCAGGGCGAGCCATTGGAGCCGCGCCCAGTAGCGGTCACAAATGTACTCACCCATAGCGTTCACCATACCCATGAGAAAAGCGATCACCTGGTGGGGCAAAGCACCCAGCGCGCGCCCGACCTTCTCGCCCAGCAACTTGAACGCCGCCTCGAACCATGCGTTGGCGTATGCAAGCCCGCCCGGCTCGGCGTTGACCCTCCCTGGTACGGTTTCGGGAGGACGGCCTGGAGGTGGGGGCGCATCCACAGCTGCCGCGCCCTCGCTTCCTCCGGCCGGCGGCTTCCCCGGCGGCGGCGGTGGCGCCGGCGACTGCTGCGCGCGGGCGGCGTCGGCGTTGCCCGTCGATCGAGGCGCGGCAACGGCTGGGCGCCGCTGTAGGGCGGGCGGTTGCTGCTCGCCCGCCTGAGGTCGTTCCGACTCTCTCGGCATCGCCTTCTCCTCGGGCGGCGGCCCGGGCACAGCTTGCGCCACGGGCTGCATCGCCGGGGGCGGGCTCGGCGCCACCCCGCCTTCGTAGCAGTACGTGAGGTAATAATGCTCCTCGCGGCTGGTGGCGCGCCCACCCGAACCGGCCATGGTTGGCGGCGGGCTCGTAGTCGCGGGCGCCTCAAGCTGCGGCGCCGCCGCCCCCTCCGGCTGCTCCGTGTCTGCAGGCAGCGCGGGGTCGGCTGGCTGGCCTTCCGCAGCCTCCTCTGCGCAGCCGCTCGCCGCGCCTGGCTCCCCCTGCGCGCGGCCCTCGCTCGGCCCTGGCGCAGAGCTGGCGGATGCCGAGAAGGCAGCCGACAGCCCTACGCCCAGGAAAGCATCTAGCCACCCCACAAGCGCAGTGGAGATGACGCACTCCAGGGACACGCGCCTCCCTGCTGCCTCTGTCCCTTCAGGCCGCGGGCGCTTGCGAGGCGTCCGCCGCGGGCCGCGGGGTTCCGTTCCGGAGCCCCCGCCCGCACTTGAGGGGGGACCTAGCCCAGCCACTACCCAGCACTCCTCGGACTGCCCGGCTGCGCCGCAGGCTGGGCCAGCGAGCCACGGCCCCGCCCGCCCACCCCGAAAACGAAATCCAAGGCTCACAACGAGCCTTGAGCAAAGGGCAGCGGATGCAGGAAGGAGAGGACTCAGAGAGGGGAGGCTGCGAGAGTTGGGGAAACCTTTCTGTTCGAACGAACTTCTAACGCAGGAAAATGTCCTGTTGGGAGACAACCGTTGGAAGATCCTGAAGCGCGCCAAACACCATTCTCGGAGCTTCGGCGCCAGGAATCAACTCGACGATTGCGTCCTGACGACCCCGAGTCGTGCCAGAACGCCGTTCATGGGACTAGCACCGCGAATCAACGCAACTGTTGCGCCCTGACAATCGTGAACCGTTCCAAAACATAGTTTCTGGTACGCTGCCCAAATGAATCCGTGAAGCTCCGCGGCGCTAAAGCGAGAACCACGTTTTGAGATCGACCCGCCCTCAATCCGAGAAGCTCTTGCAAATTCTTAAAGCGAATGTGCGCGGCGCTGCGGCGAACGCACCCGCCTTCAATCCGTGAAACTCTTGCAAAGGGTTAAGACGAGTGTGCGCGGCGCTAAGGCAAGAGCCACATTTTGAAAACGACCAGCTCTTAATCCGTGAAGCTCTCACAATGTTTGAAAACGAGCGTGCGCCGCGCTAAAGCAAAATCCACAGATTGAAAACCACCAGCCCTCCATTCGTGAAGCTGTTGCCCATCGCTTTAAGCTTCACGATCATACATGCAACATGCAACGAAGTCTTAGGCGAAACGCTTGGTCCGCCTTTCCGACTGGCCTCGGGGTGCTACAGGGAGGAACACATGCAAGGAAAAGAAATGGAGAAGGAGGAAGGGGAGGAGGGGAGATAGGGGATGGGAGGGGAGGGGAGGGGAGGGACTGTGCAAAGGCGGCTCTCATTAATGGCGTCGTCTGTATCGATGGCCACGCGCCGCCTGCTGTTCTGGAAGGTTTGAGGAACAAAAAACGATACTTCGAGTTCGAGGATCGTGCATAGCACAGCTGTCGCAAGCGCGTCAGCAGTCACAAACCGTCATTATGTCAATTACTTCGCCCCTGAAAGCGTAAGCCCAACAAAGGAACGCCGAAAAGGAAGGGTATCAGGGGGGAGGAGGGAGGAAGGGGCACAGGGAACAGGCAAAAGATCAGGAAGATGAGAATGGAGGAACAAGAGGAGGTGGAGCCATCTCCTGTCGGCAAGCGACGGGGGGATCACCTCCGTCACGGTGCAGTCCGTCAGCGAGTTCCGCCGCTCGAGCGTGGTGACAGCCTTCGGCGCTGCACGAACGCAACATGCAGCATCTGCGCCCTTCTCCTACTGCTTGGAAGAGGGACGGGGATAAGATGCACATTCGGCCGAACGGCAAAACCTCTCCGACGCCGTGGTCAGGGAGGACAGCGGATCAAAATCAGCTCGGATAATCGCGCCCCCCGGAGGCTCGTAAGACAGACATGTAGAAAGAGAAAGCGGGTACCAAAGTTGAGCAGTGAGATAGTTTACAGACTTTTACACATATGTTTTACTGAGTACCGACTGAGTACCGACAGAGAAAACAAATAGAGAGAAACAAACAAAGAGGGAGAGAGAGAACAAAAAAAAGTGAGAGACAGAGAGAGAAGGAGAAATATAAATAGAGAGAGGAAGAGAAAGAGAGGCAAAGACCGAGCGCGCGCGCGTCCGCCGAAACGAATTCCGTCATGCCGGAATCAGAATCAGAAGGCGAGATGCCACCACGGGAATCGCGGACGCGAGCGCACTGCTGAAGTTAAGCAGATGACGAGGGCATGAATTAACCCAAGCCTGACGTGCTCAGGAAAAAGAGAGGCGGGAAACGGGAGGGCAACGGACCGCCCGTGGATTCAGATGCTCTAGCGCGTACAAGGCGCGAACATGTGCCCCATGGGCGCGTCTGACATGGGCGTTGGCTGTGCATCTCACTCTCTGCGGTTTCAAAGTCGACTCACGCATCCAAGCAATCATCGTCGGAGTTGTCATGGTCGTCGTTTTCACAACCGCTGTTGGTGGAGCTGCTGTTGGGCTCTGCGCTTTCTGACACGTCTTCCTGCGCGCGCTCATCTCCCTACCACGACGTCCATGCATCCGCGGTGAAGCTCGCATCATGGGGGCTTCAGACGCGCTGTGGAAGATCATCCCCGCGGCGCATGGAGCATTACGACACAAAGGAAGCGTCGCGCATACAACGCCAATCGGTAACTTGTTAGTCGGCGGCGACGTGTCTCGAAGAAGCGGTCAGAAAGTACTGGGGCGCAGTGGCAGACTGCTTGGGGCACAGGAAGCGCGCGCAGGGGCGAGAGCGCGCAAACAGGGATGCCCGGGAGGGCCAATCGGTAACACGTTAAGGCTACGAAAGATGTTATGTCGATCGCTGCTGAAATGCGCCTGCTGCTGATGTTTGTGATGGTCTGGATGGTATGCCACTGCGCGTGCTGTTGAGTGATAACCCAAGATCCGATACAGTCTGCAAACTGCACCCGTGCATGGCGCAAGGCTTCACGATCACAGTGACAAAGCGCAGGTGGCTTACAAGGTAGTGGTTGTATGCAACATCGTGTTTCAGCTATGTGAACCTGTGCAACCAGAAGGCGGTGGGTGGTAGGAGAAGCCCAGAGGAGGAAAAAGAGGACCAGGACCCAAATAAGGCTCCCACGCAAAAAGATAAGGATCACCCACACATGCAACATAACAGTTGTCGTGGCGACCTGGACACGCGACAACGCTCACAGCACAGTACACTGTATGAAGCATGAACCCATCCAATATACTTTGTCGGTCAGCGGCGAAGGCGATCGCCAATGCAATCGGTCAGCCGATCCATGCAAGAGACACGTACTGGTCACGACCTATATCGTAGTATCAAGGGGGGCGCAACATCGAAGAGAACAACGCACATCACCCAGTACAACACAGCATACACCGTACGATGCGCCTAAATATAACTATCGTTTCATGGAGCTCAACGCGGAACCTGCCGTAGCATAATCCCGTCCTGGCAATCGATACCCGTGAACATCTGATAGCGCCATGTGACGACCAACCGCCTCGTTCACACATCAAGTAGTCTCAATCCCCGTCCTGCCCCGCCTTGCACGAACACACTATCACCACTCGTGATCCCTCCCCACTCATTGGCCCAACGACAATCCATATGACTGTTTCTGCAAGGAGGCTCTGTCCTCCCTTGAGCTGCCTGCGCCAGAACTCCACGGGCTTCCTCTGGCGTGGCCTCCACGGGCGTAAGCAAGGGCTGGGCAAGCGGCAATGACCATCATCGCCGTCGCAATCCGCATACTCATAATGAGCATCATCCTTCTAGTGGGGGTGCCGTGTCCGTCCGTGGTGCGACCTGTTCGCCACTCGTCCACACCGCCTTGCGTTGGGGAGCGTCCCCTACTTAGATGCCGACGTGTTCCAGACCCAGACATTCCACATCAATGGCTCCAAGCATACACCCCTCATTGGGCTAGTTGTCCTTTCCACTGCGGCTGTTCCCCGAACAATGCTCGTACGAAAGAATTCGGTTCAGTTTCAAAGGAGTTGGAAATTCGCGGGCCCATCGGGCCAACAGCGTGTTACACTCATCAAGCAGGTCCGCCACCGTGCCCTTGGGTACGGGGTGGGCGTGTCCTCAGGTCCAACTGAGCCTCACTCCTCGCTCCCGAATTCCTGAGGATTGTTCGAGGGGCCTGGAGCCCAAATTGCCAAATCTTCTTGGACTTCCCGAGGCCCTCAAGACGGTCCTAGAAGGCCCCAAGATGCCGAAAGATCGCCCCAAGACGCCCAAGATGGCCCCAAGATGGCCCAAGAGGCCTCCAAGACGCCCCAAGAGGCCTATCAGAGGCCTCTTAGAGGCCTCCCAAGTGGCTTGCAAGAGGCCGCCCAAGAGAGCCCGAAGAAGCAACAACCAGTGATTTGGGCGTTCTCGTCTCTTCAACTTTCCAACGCTCCAAGACAGCCTGAGAGACCCATAAGACTACCCCAAGACGGCCCGAGAGGCCTCCAAGAGGGCCCCAAGACAGCCTAAGAGCGCCCCAAGAGGGTCCAAGAGGCGTCCAAGACGGCCAAAAAGGGCTCCAAGACGACCCCAAAAAGGGCCAAAGAGAGGGAACACGAACCGAATATCCGAGCCTTCCGCCCCAAGAGGCCTCCAGGAGGCCCCAAGAGGCACCCAAAAGGCCACAAGAGGCCCCCAGGAGGCCCCCAGAAGGCCCCAAGAAGCCCCCAAGAGGCCCCCAGGAGGCCCAAAAGAGGCCCTAGCAGGCCACAGCACAGCCCCCAAGAGGCCTCAAAACTGCCTCCAAGAGGCCCCCGAGAAGCCTCCCACGAGATCCCAACGAGGTCATCATCATCGTCATCATCAGCAGCAGCATCAGCAGCATCAGCATCGCCACCACAATCACGAGCAGCGTCATCACCATAGCCATCACCAGAACCATCATCACTGTCATCATCAGTATCATCATCACCATCCTGAATATCATCGCCATCGCAATCATTAGTACCCTCATCCTCATCATCATCATGATCATCATGATCATCATCATCATCAGCAGCAGCAGCAGCATCATCCTCAGCCTCATCATCCCCATCATCCCCATCATCATAATCATCATCATCATCATCATCATCATCATCATCATCATCATCATCATCAGCAACACGACAATACTCTCCATCATCATCAGCAGCAGCACAATCATCATTGGTGACGCCATCATCACAAATATCAACATCACCACCACCACACCAATAGCGGCATCATCAGCACCATCAGCATAGCAACCATCCAATTCATCCTCCTCATCATCATCGTTACCAGCATCATCATCATCGTCAACATCGTCATCGTCATCGTCATCGTCGCCATCGTCATCCTCATCACCATCACGACCACCGAAACAACAGCCACCATTATCGTCAGCATAAGCATCATCATCAACGTCATCACCACTATTCGCATCATCATCGCCAACACCATCATCAGCATAATCATTACCATGATCACAATGGTCATCATCACTAATCAGCAGCAGCAACAGCAGCATCATCATCACGACCACCACCATCATAATCATTGCCCGCCCTCCCCCCCTCCCCTCTCCTCCCTCCTCCCTCCACCCTCCGCCTCCTTGATCCTCCTCCCTCTCTCCCCACCCCACCCCCCAATCGCTCCCCCCTTCTCCCCCATTCCTCCCCACCCTTCTCCCCCATCGCTCCCCCTTCGCTCCCCCATCGCTCCCCCGTCGCCCCCCAACCCCTTAATCCCCATCGCTCCCCCATCGGCCGTCCGCGCTGTCCCCATCGAGCGAGGTCGCCGCGCCTCCGAGCCGGGCTCGGCGCTCTCTGGCGGCGCCAGGGGGCTGTAAGACTGACGCCGCCGCCGCGCCCCGCCCTGGCCGCCGCGCGAAGGCGGGGGGTCCTCCGCCGCCTCCTTGTCTTCTTATTCCTCTTCTTTTTCGTCCTCCTCCTCCTCTTCGTCGTCGTCTTCATCATTATCTGGTTTCTTCTTATCTTTATTGATGATTAGTATTGTTATACTTATTGGCATGTTGAATCTTATTCTAATAAAAGTATTATGTTCATGTGTTGTTATTCGTTTTTCCTACTCTTCCTACGCCTCCACCTCATATTCCTCCTCCTCCACCTCCTCCTCCTCCTACTCATCCTCCTCATCATCCTCATGATCATCAGCATCATCCTATTATTAACAATATTATTATTATTATTATTTTTCATCCGCCTCCCCTTCTGCTTCGTCTTCTTATTCATGCTCATATTCTCTTTATTGTTATTCCCTACCTAGGCTCTGCCTAGAAGGGTTCTTACCGTGTTGGCTTAAAGGGCCGGGCAGTGTTCCACGCCCCGGGCGGTTCCCCCAGGATCCGCCCCGCGGTTCCCCCAGGATCCGCCCCCTGGGTTCACCCAGCTCAGCTTAGCTAAGCTAAGCTAAGCTTAGCTTATATCATCTTAGCTTAGCTTAGCTTAGCTTTGCCTAGCCTAGCTTGGCTTAGCTTAGCTTAGCTTGGCTTAGCCTATCTCATCTTAGCTTAGCTTAGTTTAGCTTAGTTTAGCGTAACTTAGCTTAGCTTAGCTTAGCTTAGCCCAGCGCAGCGCAGCATAGCGCAGCGCAGCATTAGCACAGCACAGCACAGCATAGCATAGCATAGACAAGCATAGCATAGCATAGCCTATCATAGCATATCATATCATAGCATAGCATAGCATAGCTCAGCATAGCATAGCATAGCATAGCTCAGCATAGCATAGCATAGCATAGCATAGCGTTACATAGCATAGCACAGCATAGCATAGCATTGCTTAGCATAGCACAGCGCAGCATAGCATAGCATAGCATAGCATAGCCCAGTCTAGCCTAGCCCAGCATAGCATTGCGCAGCATAGCATAGCATAGCCGAGCATAGCATAGCATAGCATAGCATAGCATAGCGCAACACAGCATCCACTACTGCTTCTGCTAGTGTTGCTTTCCTAGAGGCTCCAACTCCTAGGTAGGGTCGCACTGGGATGATTAGTACCGTTCCTTACTGTTATTATACCTGCTACTATCATGACTGGTGTTACGTATTAATATGTTAGTATGTTCATTAAGAATCGGTATTATTATTAATACTGTTCGTACGCCTCCTCCTCCTCCTCCACCGCCGTCTCCTCCTCCGACTACTCCTTCTCCTACTCCTTCTCCTCCTCCTCCTCCGCATCACCATCAGCATCTTCATACGCAGCACTAGCATCAGCATCATCATCACCATCACCATCATCATCCTGAGTAGCATCGCCATCACAATCATCATCGTCATCACCACTACCACGACCACCACCACCACCACCACCACCATCATCATCATCATCATCATCATCATCATCATCATCATCATCATCATCATCATCATCATCATATTCATCATCATCATCACCATCATCATCATCACACTCAAAGCTCCATTATCCTCCTCCTCCTCTTCCTCCTCCTCCAACTCCTCCTGTCAACTCCTCTCTCCTCTCTCCTCTTCCCCCTCCTCCTCCTCCTCATCCTCATCCTCCTCCTCCTCCTCCTCATCATCATCATCATCAGCAGCATCGGCATCACCAACAGCATCACCACCACTACCATCATCACCACCACCACCACCATCAACCCCGTCATCATTACCATCAGCATCGTCATCATCAGCAGCATAATCATCATCATTATCACCACCACCACCACCATCATCATCATCAGTATCATCATCAGTAGCATCATCATCATCATCATCATCAGCAGCATCATCAGCATCATAAGCATCACCGTTATCATCATCAGCATCATCATCATCATCATCATCATCATCGTCATCGTCATCATCAACGTCATCATCAACCTCCACATCGTCATCATCAGCATCATCATCATCAGCATCATCGTCAGCATCATCATTGTCATCACTGTCAGCATCGCAACCGTCATCATTATCGTCATCGTCACCGTCACCATCATCATCAGCAGATTCACCACCATGATCATACTCATCATCATCGTCATCATCATCATCATCATCATCATCAGCATCAGCATCATCCTCATCATCACCATCACCATCAGCAGCATGGTCATCATCATCATCCTAAGCAGCAGCAACGCCATTACTGTCATAATCATGATGATCATCATCATCAGCATCATCATCATCATCATCATCATGGCCACCACAATCATCGTCATCATCATCCTCATCATCATACTCGTATGTTCGTCCTCTCCTCCTCCTCCTCCTACTACTACTCCTCCTCATCCTGCTCCTCTCTCCTCTCTCCTCTCTCCTCTTCCTCCTCTTCCTCCCTATCGTCATCATCATCATCCGCATCATCGTCATCATCATGCCCATCATCATCATCATCATCATCATCATCATCATCACCATCATCATCATCATCATCATCATCATCATCATCATCGTCATCGTCATCGTCATCGTCATCGTCATCGTCATCATCACGATCATCACGATCATCATCATCATCATCATCATCATCATCATCACCGTCAACATCACCACCATCATCCTCATCACCACCTCCACCATCATCAGAGGCAGTATGATCATTATTTTCATCATCATCATCATCATCATCAGCATCATCATCATACTCATATGTTATTACTCCCCCCTTTTCATGACGGAGTCCGGCTGGTCAACAAGCAGCGAGAGGAGACATGCCCGCCGCCAGCGCCCCATGAGTGGACGTTGGTCGGCAAGCCGCTCTGCAGTGCTTGCGAGGATCCCTCTCTTCCGCAGTGCCGCCGAGCGGAGGGTGCACCAGGCACCTCAGAGTCCGCCCGTAGTCCTCGCTGGACCTTCGACACAGATGCATCGTGCTGGATTGCAGCATCGGGTCTTCTGCGTGCACCTGTGGGCGGCGCGGGGCTCTCACATCAGATGGGCGTCTCGCCGAGCTGGGTGCACCGCGCAAGCCGGTCGCTCATCCGCACAGGGGAAAGAGCTGGACAAGGCTTGAAAA